TAAATGGTAATGTTATAAATATTATACCGTACATACTAAATTGAAAGCAAATAGACGTTTGTTGGTTCCACTTTTTTTCACACCTGATCCAAGACAAATTTGCATGTATCGTTCCATACGCTATACCAGTGGCGCCTACAGGTTTTCCATGAACCAGTGAAATTATAATTATAGGGCCCCCATATTTATTTTGGTCCACATCCATACAACCATATTCATTTGATTAAAAATATTTTTTTTCCAAATGTATTTTCAAATGCATATTTACCTTAAATAAATTTAAAAGTATTGAAAATTTCTGTACAACATTTTTTTAATAGGGGCTTTAGGTCCCAGAACCCACGAAAGACCAGTGCAATTGTACTACTTTGTACCCTACGTGAGGGCTGTAGCCCATTTGCGCCCAAGAGCAGCCCATTTGCGCCCCGAGGGTTATGGACATTTGCGTCCAAAATAAAAAACTTAACACCCTGATTTATAGCCCAAATGCGCCCATTTTGCATGCAACGTTGCCGTTGTTGTTTAAAAATATACAATTCTATGTAAAATCAAAATTAAAAAAAAGTAATAATTTTAAAAATAATGTTAAATACTAAACAGTATACATATTATATATACATATATATTATTTATATTGCATTAAATTATTAATTTCAAATAGAAACATTTTTACGTAAAATCAAAATAATTAATAAATACAATTACAATAATATCACATATACATCTAAATTTTAAATAGGTATTATTAATAATCCATTAAATTAAATTTATATAGAAACAAAATAAATAATACATATTAATTGCCACTGTTGTCAGTTGTCGTTTAAGAATGTTTAAAAATATTAAATCCTACGTAAAAAATAATCAAAATTTATAATATAGGTACATTAGTCAATAATAAGGATGTTAATAACACAAAATATAATTAAATTATAATAATATTAAAATAATCATACAGTTATTATAAATTGATTCCCCGAAATTTATAAGAAATTTTTTTTAAGTATTCTATTTTATTTAAGTGTTTTCCTCTGTACTCATTCCACGCTTCATAAGTATGTTGTATTTTTTCTTTTTCTTCTTTACGTCGTGATTTTATTTTACCCTTCTTGATTTCATTTATTTTTAGATATGATTCTACTTGTATAAGTTTTAAATTTTCAATTACACTAGTCAATGGAGGATGAGGTGAATAAAATTGGGAGTTAAAGTGCTTGTGAAATGATTCAGCGCAATTTGTGGTGCGAGGTGCGTCTGTTGAAGGTTCAGCCCAAATTGATGGTGGAAATGGACATCCTTTAATGATATAGTTATTAAATACATAATCAGAAAATTCGGATAAATTTGTCAAATTGAAATCTGGAGTTAAGTTTTGTAAATCAAAATAAGCATCTTCCACTTCATTTGACGGTAAAAATGGTAACCCAAAAAATAATGTTAACCATTTAGCGATATCGCATGACTGATTCTTGTACAATTTTTTAAGATCTGACAAAGAATTTATTTTTCGGTACCAAGATTGACCTAAATGAAATCTACAGCCTCTTATTTTGCTGTCTGGAAATACATTTAGAAATGCTTTGTGTGCTGCGATTTCAAAATCTAAATGGATTGATAATGGTGTAAAATTTTTTTGTAATTTATTTGTACATAAATGGCAAATAAAGTTCCACATAGCCCGATAACATTCAAATGATTTTGATGGTAAAAATGCAATAACAAGTGGTATATAAAATCCATTTACATATATATGAATACCATACATTTGATAAAAATGTGATGGTCTATAAGTAAAAGTACCATCACCAAAAATATCAGAATAGTTGAAATCGCATAAAAAATTTAAATTCGTTTTACATGTAATCAAAATAATATTATTTACATTATCAACATATGTAAACTCTTCGTTTTTATTTGTTAAAATTACTAAATTAGAAATCTGTTCAATTGCTTCGTTGAGTGATTTAGGAACTGAGGGTAATATTTTTCGACGTTCTCGGTATATAGACTTTCTGATATTATGAACATCAGAATTCTTAGCGGTGCTGCACGTGGAAAGCTCTGTACGTATTATTTTATTAGGTCGTAAAGTTAAATCTTCACACGCTTTTCTTTTACACTTACCTTGAACGTCCAATAAGTTTAAATTTTCTTCAGTTTCCGGATCATGGGTATGTCTGTCTTTAATTTCGGTTAACTTCGTTTTTGAACTATTGGTTTTGACATACGCACTACAGGTTTTTTTTACACAACGCCAACTTATATCTCCAGAAACAAGGGTTCTACTCACGTGATATTTAAAATAACGAAAAACTAAACAAAGTTTTTGTTTACTTGAATTAGTTATATAAAATTCCATTATAGTAGTATTCACTATTCATGTACTGATGCAACTGACACATATAAAATACAACTGATAAATGCATTTTTATATAATATAATCTTTATCGATTGGGATTTTACAATTTCGATTAGCACGACTAACGACAAAATATTATTATCTTTATCGATTTTGATATTGGTTTCGATTAGATTGGGAAACGATCAAATATTATTTTAGATTTTATAGTTACACGCCAATATACTCAATAAATGGCAACGTTGCACGATTTTTACCTGATCTGAATCGGGCGCATATGGGCTATGATTTGGGGCGCAAATGGGCTACGATAAATGGGTTCGGGCGCAAATGGGTTGCGCCGTACGTGAGCACCACTGCGCAATAATATATTTATAATGAACCTAAAGCCGTATACATCGGGTTAGCAGTAGTCTAGATAATTTCAACTTTTATTTTGATAAATAATTTAAAATTTGGAATTTATGTTGTTTATGTTAAATTATTTTTTCTCACTGTAAAAACACTAAATTTAAATTTTACAGTAATTATTAATTTTATTGTATTTAATAATATTGTACATATTTTTTTTTTCTTTTGCATGATAAGCAACTTTAAAAATAATAAATGCGTCAATAAACTTATTATTTTTCTTATTATTACTATAAATAAGTCAGGATTTTCAATTTATAGTCATCGACACTAACTTTAAAATATTGATCCCACGATATTCAATGTATACTTTTTTTTACAATCTGATATACATAACAGATGTGGTAAAATTATAATAAAACTGCTAATTAAACGTTAAGGTCATTACGAATTCATGCAACATAATTCTAATGTATTTATAAAATTTGATGATCTTTTCATAAATATTGATTTTCAGAACACGTTATTTTATGCAAATGTTTAACATTCAAGTGAATATCGCATAACTACATGACCAATTAATGAATTATTATTATTAACATTTGATAAAAATGTGAATTATTTTTGTTTCATGTTGCATACACATTTTTTTCACGATTTAGTGAAATCATTAGAACACCCGAAACTTCGGTAAAATTCGAAATTCCCATTTATCTGATGTACTTATAAAATATAGCAGTAGTTGTTTGCAGTAATTTACTATTTTCTAAATCGCTATAGTTCAATCTAGACGTGAGCTATACACATTGAAATTGAGTGAGAGTTCCACTCACGGAACATAGAAAGGTATCAATTCAAATACATAAACAATGATAGTATACATATAATATATATTCACTCACACTGATGTTTATTTTATTTTTCAAAACAAACCTTTATAAATATTAATAATAAATACAATTTAATATGGTATTTTCTTTTAAATTATTGCTTTTTCGTTTATTATTCGAAGTTCAAACACACAATAGAACTACGAGATAAATATATTATAATTGTATTAAAATAATAATAATAATAATATAATGATTAATATTGCTTTAGCGCTGTCTAATTCTATACACGAGAAATATAATTACTGTATACATTTATTTAGTCTAAAATGTCCTATATAATATAATATGTCGGCAACTGTAAAATATTATATATTAATAATAAAGGGACAAACTTTAACCAATATTATATAACGACTAGTATCACTTGCATAAAATAATAACCACAAAAAATAAGTAATAAACACATATGATATCTTACTAAATTATATACATGAAAAAAAAACAAAGGTGACAGTCAGGAAAAATAATAATAAATATGCATTAGAATATAAATTATAAACCTTAACAACGGTTTTGAAATAATGAGGAATGTAGAAGAAGGGGATAAATGCCTTATGACTAATAACTAACTAACCTGTCATAATATTTTAGTATAATATATGGCCAAAATCTTCGAGAGCTATATAGTATATAGTATACTAATAAGCTATTTTTTTTTATTTTTTTTATTTTTTTTTTGTACTTCTCGCTCGACTAGATTTTTATTATTTTTACTCTTAACAGACAAATATTACAGTGCAGCCCAAAATTGATGAATAATAATAATATAAAAATAAAATAGTGCTTCGTAATATATCATATAGATATATGAAGTGTATACATGGCATACATACATTAATGTATGTATAAAGAATGAATGTATTATTGATAAAATCTAACATAATTATTACAATAAAACAGTTCTAGAAGTCTATAATTCAATAAATTACAATAAGAATATTTTCCGCTTTATATAGAAAACAATGTGTTATTATAATAATGTAATGGTTTTTTTTTTTTTTATGTCAATACACACTAGTGATTTAACAGTATAGAATGTTGTCCAGTCACAAACTTGCAAAAATGTATGGTACAAATGAAAAAAAAAAACAATTATAAAATAAAACTGCCGAAGTTTTCTCGCGGTGTAGAAAAACAAAATCATTATACATTTTACAGTGAACATAAGTACAGCTTAAATATTAGGTAATTAAATATATAAGTAATTATATAAAGAATACAGTTTTATGTTCGTATTTCGGTTAACAGGGGAAGTTAGGTGTGGTTTATGTACAAATTTTCGCTAGATTTTAAGTTTTGTTGTTTTTATTTGTGTTTATATGCAAGAAATAAGAGATTACGACTTGCATTTGTGTAAGTTTAGTTGCGTGCTTCAATCGGGAACGGCGCATTTTGGTATCATTGTTACGACAGAAATCTGTTCGGGGTGCTTGTTAGTGGGTCAGTGAGAAACGCGAATTTAAAAGTTTTCCGTCTTGGTAGGGTCGAGAAACACGTAAAACGTTTAAACTCGTGTTCCGCGAGTATCGAGTATCAAATTCGTATTGTTCGTTGTGTAAGCGAAAAATACGAATCTGAGACGTCCTCGCAATGGTATAAAACGATACATAAACGAATGATTATAAAAAAAAATAAAAAAATAGTCAATAGAAAATTTTACTGTTAACGGTCGCTTAATATGCGAATATAATATTGATATCGTTTACGTCGACAACATCGATATTATAATAGTGTAAAATGTTCTTTTATTTTCGCTATTTGGTTAAACACGACTTAAGCAATCGAATGAGTGTCGAAAAAAAATATTTAAAAAAAAAATGTATACTTATTAAGAGTACATTCTAATATTTTTTCAACACTCACTCCATCGTCCACGCAGTTTACCGCCTTTATCCTCAACGTTATATACGCTTTTTACCAACCATACTAACATAATTACTACTACTACTACTTAATTGATTTTTAAATAAACTGCTACATATACGCGCTCACGTATAGATTCAAATATAACCGGTTCGGTAAAAAAAAAAAAAAAAAAAAAAAAAAAAAATAATAATAATATTAATTTAAAGAAACAAAACGCTGTCCAGTGCGGTAAGAGGTAAGCCATGATGATAATGATAAATACAATCAACACAGAAAATTATGTACAATCTATATCCTACTATAAATACGTATATTTTATTATAATCGTCGTCGCGCGTCGTAAAAATATTAATAACAAGAATAATCAATAGTTAATAATATTAATAGAGCACGGGACCGAAATAATAAAATATCGTAATAAGGCAACAACGGTCAGCCAAACACACCGGGTCCGCCGTGTCATCGGACGGATTGTCGACACGAGTGCACACGTGAACACCGAGTATGAAAACTGTAAAAATATTTTATGTTAAAAACTTAACGTACGTACACACGCGAGTGTTATAAAATACGATCCTTATCAACTACATTACAATTACGCGTCCTACCTACGCGCTACGACTAAATATGTTTACGTATACGTGTAAAAGGGCGGCCCGTTCCCGGTGTCAAAACCGTTGCCCACGCGCGCACGGTACCACAAACACTTGTGAAAAATCTTTGGACACGGTGAACGTGACGGCGGCGGCAGATTATAAGATCATCACCCTGGGCACGGGTGACGAGATGCGCGCGCCGGCTCCGGTCATTCGTTGTTTTCGATGCCCAACATTTTGGCCGCGTCCTCCGGAGACTTGGTCTGCAGCACCTGGTCGATGACCGTGTTGTCACGTATCCCGAGCAGCGTGCCGATGAGCCCGGTGTCGGCCGCGCGATTCTCGTCTCTGGACGGGCAGTCGTCGTACGCGGCGCCCGTCGGCGGCCGTCGCGGGCTCGAACTCCGCGACCGCTGGTACTGGTACTGGTACGAGTACTGGTGGTGGTGGTGCTGCTGCTGCTGCGGCTGTTCGGCGTCGCCCACGCCCGCACCGCCGTGCTTTTTCGCTATGTGCCGGACCATGCTGTGCTTGAGAGTGAACCGGCGCTTGCACGACTGGCACGCGAACGGCTGTTCCTTGGTGTGCGTGCGCATGTGCCGGCGCAGGTCTTCGGCCGAATAGAAACGGTGCAAGCAGAACGCGCACAGGACCTGCGGGGACAGAGAACAAACACGGGCCATGTCAGACAAACCGTCATCGTCACGCGATCGGATCCTATAAAATATTATATTATAATACAGCTTCATCGTTCGGGGGAAAAAAGGATACGTTGCTACGGCTGACGCGCGTAATTATTAATAATTAATAATTGTTAATTCGCAAAGTTTCGATATTGAATGTAGACATATGTATCGTTTGAAAACGTCGATGTCAAATTCGGTGGCGAGGTAAAAGAATTTTGATTTATAAACGTCATGTAGTTGGAATTTCGGTATGATCAGTCCCGTCGCTAGGGTACAAGCAAGTCATGCGTTACTTTAGGACGGCATAACATTTTAAAGAAATTGAGACGGCAAATTGTAATATTCAATTTCCAAAAAAGACAGCAACTTAAATCAATACCGTACCGTACGATTCGTTTTAAACGGTACTGATAATTAAATTATATTTTTATTCTCAAAAATCCAAAAATATACATTTATAAGCGCAAAATCATATAATATGCAACTTTTTAATACCTCACATTAGGTGGGATATTTTTGTTAGGGCGAGTACTACAAAATAATGTTTTTGTCTTGTTTGTAGTATATGTTGCAGTTGTTTCGAAATTTACGTAGGAAACTAGTCGCCAAAATTTTAATCGAACTTTTCGGTATTTACGTTTCTGGAAAATGCGGATGTTATCGCGTTGTATTTAATATCGATTTGAAAAACACGAATTAATTACACGAACGACGATCTTATAAATATTAACCATGATATACCAACCTTTCTGTTTTCCACGTCGTCCTGTTTGATGGCCGACGCCTCGTGATCGTTGTCCATGGCGCCCTGCGATACTAGTATCTCGTAGCATTCAGCGTGATTGATCCGGATGTGGTCCAGGGCACTTTGCCTCTCCAGGTAACTGCTGTCACACAGGTGACACTTAAAACACGGTTCGGACCCGGTTGTCGAAGCGGTCGAAGGGACTCCGGTGCCGTTGTTCCCCGGTAACGCGATCAAGTTGTTCGCGTAGTCGCGTTCCGATTCTGGCCCGTCATCGGAACCGTCACCACCTCGATCGTCGTCGTCCACTCCAGCACTACCACCGCCTTCACCTTCACCACCACCGCTGCCATCACCGCGGCCGCCACCTCCGTTTTTATCAAAGTGCATCCGGTTAATGTGACTTATGAGGTTTTTGCGCTTGGAGAACGCCGTCTTCGGACATAACGTGCACTTGTACAAATTTTTTGAATCAGGTGAGGCACCTGCGTCGTTAGTAGTCGTGGTGAAGGCTGTGACCGCGGCGGAGATGACCGCTTCGTTGTCGGACGACGTGGCTGACTTGCTAGGCGGCGTGCAGTGCAGGCGTAGTATGTGGCGATCACGGTTTGACTTTGTCGAGAACGACAGCGGACAGTGCTTGCATTGGTACGGTTTCTCGCCCGTGTGCGTGCGGATGTGACGTTTCAACGAGGATGTCCACGGGAACGATAGGTAACAGAACGGGCACAGCACGCGGTTGGGTGCAGCCGCGTATGCGCTCACCTTTTTTCGTTTCTCTCGACTCTCGTCCTTGTCATTATTGAAATGTATGTCATTATTGTTGTTGCCCGCGTTAGTACTGCTACAGAGGGGTGAAACATAAGATAAGTGTTAAAATGAGTAATTATTCGCATGCGAAATACAAAAAAAAAAATTTTTTTAAACAAATCGCGTAAAACTTACCCGGATCCATCGTTTTCGGAATAGACCACCTCGCAGTGCTCTTCCTCACTGCTGGTCGCTTCGTTATGATCCTCATCGGATCTATTAAACTGGGGAAACATTTGGTGCGAAGCATTGTCCAGTAGTCTGGAAACGCTGGCCAAATCGGCCGACTCTTCTTTGACTTCGAGCTTCAAATTGTCAACGACGTCTTCCACTATGACCAATTTGTCTTCCTCCACAACGTCATCCTCTTCCTCATCCCTGTCGTCCACTTCGTCTTCGGTCGTCCTCTGTTGCTGTTGATCCTGTTGCCGGCATTTTAACGACAAAGCCATTTTCACCTGATCCGAAATCGGTGCTAAGTCTTGTTCCTGTTTGGTGGCCAAGAATTGCGGCTCGGATTTGGACAGCGATCTGGGTTTCTTGTGCCAATCGGTGGGATGTTGGTTCTTGACGTGTCGGTCACGGTTCGACTTTAACGTGAACGCTCGCTTGCACGTCTCGCAAACGTGAGGTCGGTCCGTCCTGAACCGTCTCTGTTTAGGTACCAAAATGCCATTCTTCATCACCAATCGCAGTCCATTCGTGTCCTTGGGTTTTTGCAAGGCGACATCCGTCGCGGCTGACGCTGGTGATGCCGAAGACGGTACGGCCACAGGTTCAGGCGTCTTGGGCTTGGGTGGTAGCACTTCGAGCGGCTCTTGAACCGGTGCCGGCGGCGGTTCGTTCATCTGCCGCATGGCGCGGATCATGTCAACGGTGAGTGGGATGGGCAACATTCGTTCCGCATTCGGGTACATGCCGTTGAAGAACATTCTGTGCTCATTCAGGAAATATGCATGCAAAGGCGTGGGTATCGTCAAGTCCATGTAGCCGGGCGAGGCTTGCGGAACAAACTGCTCCCTAAACGAGGTTTCCGTCGTCTTCACAACGGTATCTTCTTCATCCGAATGGTCCGCACGGTCTAACATGGACGAATCTTTCTTGACACTGTTCATGGACAAATCCTGCGGCTCGCAGTCAAAATCCTGTTTGAAACGTTTCATACTCAGGTCCAATGGCTCATCGAAATCGTCTTCATCGTCTTCTGAACTCTTTTGGCCCGCCGACGATTCGTAATATGAATATTCCATCATTATCTTGTACTCGTCGTCCACCCCACCACTCTTGCACTCCACAACGACTGACTCGTCACCGTTGGCCGATTGCGATGATTTCTCTTCGTTCTTAAATAATATCGACATCTTCACTTCGGAATTGGACGCTTTGTGTATGGTCCGTAGATGTCGCTCACAGTTGGCCTTGGTGGTGAACGCGTACGAGCACTTTTTGCAAACATACGGCGTTTCGCCCGTGTGACCCTTCATGTGATGGTTCAGGGACGCTTTCTCGGTGCTCGAGAACTCGCATATATTGCACGCATATAGCCCGTTGGTGGACTTGTTGTGACTGGATGAGTTATGGCCTTTCAATGCGCGCAAGTTTCCGAACACGGTCGAGCACAGCCGACACGTGTACGTGCGTTTGGCTTTCAAGTGATGATTGCTGCGCTTGACCGGCAAATGCGATGTGTAACTGCCAACGCCACTGCTGCCGCCACCACCGCTAACGTTGACGGATAGGGGTATTTCGTCTTTTGGCGAGTTCCCAAAATACGAGTCCTTATCCGACGGGTACCCATCACTTAAGTCTGTGCTGCACGTCGAATCACCGTTATACAACGACTTAACCGGCGTGATGTGTGTCACGCGCTCGGGACTGTTGAATGACTTTACGGCGACGGTGTTGTTATTATTGTTGTTGTTGTTGTTGTTGTTGTTGTTGTTATTATTATTATTGTTGATGCTATTATTGTTGTTGAACTCACGGTAAAACGTTTTGGCCGAAAGATTTTGTGGTTCCAAATTCATATGGGCGGTTTGCAAGTGCAATCGCATACTGTATGTGGTAGAAAACATTGCGTTGCATACGGGACACCGGCTCTCCCGTTTGGTGTCCAATACAGAGTTGCAAAATAGCCGTTGGCGAAGATTATCAACACGCAACATTTCCGATGACATTTCAAACCTGAAACAGATATGAGTATTATTATAACAGATGATAAGGTTTGCGTGGTGCAATCAGCGAAATCGAAAAACGAGAGAAGATATGGCGGCGGGATAGTACTAATGCGTGTGGTGAGGTCGTATCGATTTGATGAGAGAAAAATATATACAGAGGAGGAGAACGACGACGCCGCTGACAACGACCCGTACACTACCGTGGGCGCAATACATTCGGTCAACATGGCAACGAACGTAGTAACAAAGTTCAACCGCTCTCATTATGTACACACAAATATCTAGAGGCACACTCGTGTGTGTGTGTGTGTGTGTATGAGTATATACAAGAAGAAAGGTCGACCCATTAGAATTCATTCATCGTTAAGTACCTCTATGTGTGCAAAGTTTGTGTGTGTGTGTATCTTCGTCGAGACAGCAATGTGCGATTATTGTAAAAAAAAAATAAATACACACGTATATACAGGAGGAGGCATATTAAATAATATGTATAATAAAATAACCGTCAGCAGGTGTTTGCATGTGGGTTGGAAAAAAAACGGAACATCGTCCGCGCCGTACTAAAATATTCTGTCGGACTAATGTAGGTAATGCATACGTGTATTCTGCTATTATCTACACGGGATGTGTACGCCGATCAATATTCATGACAACAACACCGAGCTTTACGTATACTGTATCTGTCCCCGTTGCTTGCCAACTACCAAGTCTCCCTATTGCGCCGCCGCGAAGAGACCGCACTGCCGAGAAACACAACGTCCGCACCGCACGTCAACTGTTCCGTGTGATGCCGGTGCGTTATTGTGTATTGTTATTATCGACTGTGTAATCGACACAATACAATACGTAATATGGACCCGGACGAGGGGGAAACGTGTTCGAAGTAGTCGAAATGATGCCTGCAGCCGAACTACCTACCGTGTACGCGTGTTGACATTGGCCTTTGACATCGGCGATGACGGAGAACCGAGGGGTCCGCGTGGCGAGGGCTGCATCTTCCTCCCCCAGCACAAATCGAACAACAATATAATCTTTTAATAACAATAATGCACCGGCGGCGGCGCCTAAGCGAGCATAATAAACAACACGCGTCGTCGGGGGATGCAGCCGACACGAGTCCGGTTTGGAATTTCATATCTCCCCGAGGGACACCACCACGCGCTGCCTGCTGTCCGATTCTTTTATTGTGATGATGATGATTACTGTTAAACGCCTTTTAAAATATAATATACTGCACTAGCGCGTGTATACGTTTCAATTAATTTAATAGGCGGTAGTGAAGACCGACCATATGTTTGCCTCCCACGAAAAAGCTGCCACAGATATATTAGAGTTCATTTTTTTTTTTTATCTTAGTCATCCCTTTTAGCTGATTGAGAAAAGTTTTGCATGTGTAATTTAAATTAACAAAAAAATAATAATAATAATTATCAATATATTATGAACGCGTTATCAAAACTTGCAAAACAGTTTTCAAAAAAAAAAAAAATATTCGCCCGTCCGTTATACACTATCCGTTGTTGTTGGAAAATTAATCATACATTAGTTATGTTTTTAATTGGTAAATCATATAATTCTCCACCTTTTTTTCTCACCGATGTATATTTACATCACGTACAATAATTAACGCGCGCACCATCAGTAAAAAGCAATCATACCGCAGTCATATTCTGCAGTATATGTATATTATACGTATAAGTACAGAGGTGTTGGAAATCTGTTTTGCTGTCGACCGATGCATTAATCATAGAACCGTAGCTTTCAATCCAATTACTTGATGTATATAGTCGAACTGCGGTGGTCGGTTTTTTATTTATTTTTTTTTTCATTTCATTTTTCCCCTCTCTGTGTGACCAGGTAGGTAACTTACGAATAAAACGTGCGAGGGTGGTATACACAAAAACAACAATGTTCACGGCTCTGTGGGGTGGCGCCCTTTAGACTAGTTCGAGGGGGCTGTTTGTTTTCCCTTGGATACCACTCGTGTACGTGTGTGTGTATGTATGTATACACAACAATAATAATGACAGCTTCACGATTATTAAATAGCGGTGGCGGGGGCTGAAAGTGGATTGGCTAATAAGTCAACATTATATGTTACTGTTTCAATGAGTGCAGTGCGTGCGTATTGTACGGAGTATATTATACGACACGAATCGTATACAGCGTAATAAGTTTCGTGGGATTGTGCGCCGGTGTATAATCGTATTCGACGTTTCTCTAGGTCTTTTCCGGATTTCGCGTTAAATTATAATATTTTCAAAGATGAGCGAGTATAATTATTATTGTATTCCACGCTAAGTCATCCATCCACGTGTTTACGCTACAATATATACATATACACGCAACATAACGAATAAAATAAAAGAAAACTAGGGAAAAAAAATTATTATCATATTAAATATAATAATAATCTCATAGAATCGTGTGGTTATGTATTACACTGGCAGGACCGGTGAACCGTACAAGGCGAGCACGCATGTACATACATATAACGATGTACACATACACATACACACACACACACACATACACATACACATACACATACACATACAAACTTATATACATGTATACGAGTTTGACCTGCAGGATTTTTCCCAAGGTATACCTGGTACTACTATATACATAGAACCACGTATGTGTGTGATCAAAGATGGCGACGGATGCTGATCATTGATGGGAAACAACACACACACACACACACACACGTGCGCACGCGCGCACTGTATACACACAATAATAATAAAGGTCTAAACACACGCACACACAGATACGGTCATGGAGGACACGGCCGACGATAATAATTAAACTCACCGCCCCCTGCGAACAGCACAAACGCATCATCATCATCATCGCGAGCAGTGGGAGGAAAGACCAGTTTTTCTCAAGATCGTCTGGCGATGATTACATCGTTGCTACCGGTCCCCCTGCTGAGTATTTAAGTAACTCCTCTCTCGTTTTCTTCGCCTTGGGCTTGTCTCTGCGCGCATGGTCAACCTTACGGAAATGTTTATTTTCCGTTTACCTGCATATACCTCCATCATACAAAGCACATGCTCACTGATTTACGTTTAATATTTGTTTTTTTCCACATCTCATAGTCCTAATCAGATATTGCGTACCTCCAAGTAAAACGCACGCTATTTAACTACCTCACGCGTATCCAATAGGAATTACATGTTTTTCTCGTCTGCTAATCATTTCGGTCATATATAAATTATATATCTAAACAATTTGCGTGCACAAAATTATCGATTTTATACAATCGGGTTCAGGATGCGAAATCATGCTCCTCAAAGTGTGATTTCGCCACCGCATGTGGGTCCACGGCGGTACTTTCCCCTACCAACGATAATGAACTTTCAATCTTCCTAAATACGTAATATTCAGTGGTGTCCCTATGAGACAGAGGGGAATTTATAACAAGTGCCTTCGCTAGTACATTCGATGGTTAGCACTGGTACGTATGTAAATTTCGAGAAAAAATGATTTTTTACATGCGCTCGCGAGACTGCGTCAATGTTATGGTTATTGCGTGAATTATTATTTGATCAAAAATTAGAACGGTCGCGTACGCGTCGTATTCACTGTTGTAACAATAATATAGTAAAATACATGCGAGTGTAGACAATATATATATAAACACGCGCGGAACACACGTATGACCCAAAAAAAAAAAAAAACTTGATGCTGATTCGGCACTGTATACAATAACGTTGACGCCGTTCAATGGTGGTGGTGGTGGTGTTGGTCACACCACAGTGTCTTCAATGAGTGTCAAATGAGTCCAAATATGTTTATAAGACAAATTGCAGCATATGATTTGTCAGCAATGTCTACACAGAATACTGATGTATAATATATTGTTCGCGTTTAACATCCGTTCATGAGTATGCGTATAATACACTTGACGTTGTTATTTTGTACACGAGAATCTCGATTTTTTTTTTGTCTTTAAAACAGTGGGCCACGGTGTATACCGCCCGTAACCATAACTACTGCGCGGGCGTCATTTTCGATGGAAGAGCAGCAACGAACAAGAGGGAAACACTTCAACCCTATCAACCGGTTTTTCGCCGTATACAAAATACGTTCATTTATTTTCCATGGATATACACGATTTTAAATATTAAAACATTTTTATCGACCCATCATTGGTCAACGGTTTTCATTTGAAGTACAATAAATTACATACTGATATATGTATCAATAGGGCACGGATTTTTATGCGATGAAAAAATTCAAAATATGTAAATATTTATGTTCTTATTTTTGCCAAAATTTTTTATTAAAAAACGTGAAATATTTAACCATAACATCGGTATTTTAAATAGTCATTAATAATTACTCATCTAAACATCTTAATTGTTATCTTCTTCGAAACAATGGATACAAAGTACATTTGAAGATTTTCACATTTTAATGTACGGTGATTAGGTTTCAAATTGGATTCGTAGCGGCTGAAGGTGCATTCAATGTCGACCGAGGTTAATGGAGCATATTTCATACCACACATGTACATACAGCATATGTCGGATGGTGTTACTTAAATATCATTTGACGTATTTTCATTTTTATTCATAAGAATATCTTTAATAATTTTATTGTAAACCAACGTTATTACTGAGTACGTAGTTTAATTTATTTTTTATTAGAACTCCGGGATTCTCCTTGAACTTTGTTTAATTTGATTTCAGCATTTTCCACTATCGTAAGACTTTCAACTATTGTTAAATTTCATGTTTATAATTTTTTATGATTTTAACCAAAAAACAAAAATTTGTGGAAATATATGCTAAATAATTTTTCAGGTCATTATTTTACATAATATCAAAAGCTTGAGTAATAACGATTGCAGTATCTGAATCAATTTTAATTTTTCTTTAATTTAATTTCAATATAATAATTTTAATACAAATAAAAACTGTATAGTTATGAAAATGCGAAATATTTACAAAAAAAAAACGTAAATATTGGTGAAATATTTAAAAATATTTATTTACATTAAAATATGTGAAACGTGTTAATTTTTAATCGGAATTGAGAAATTCACATTGAATAAAATTACGTATTTACATCAAAATCCGTGTCCTACTGATGTACACATGTATAATTTTCCCAGCGCTATTAACTGCACAATATCCAACAATAACGCTGCCGTAGACATTTTCGAGTCGACTTCTACTTGCGGGGTGTATACTATGGGCGGGTGGTGCGCGAGTGATTTCCGTTTCGTTCTCTTCGACGACGATCGAAGCACCACCGAACATTATCATGTGCATGAACACGTTAGTTATTAATACACTCGTTGTATACAAGTAGTATTGGTCGACGTTAGTTCAACACGGTTCTGTCAAATTTGTTCTTTTTTCCACTCTACGTGTTGTTGGTCGTAGGTTCCCCGGAATACAATGTTGCCGTGTTCGTATAATTGCTGTTCGTTTATTGTATGGTCTACGTAGTTCCAGGACAACAACGAAAACGACGACGATGATAATGACAACGTCCTTGCGTGTCGCGAAGCGGCGATTCTTACGCAAGAAAGCAACATTCGTGGACTTCAATGCCGAACGTATCACAGGGGCGACATATTGTTTGCGTGTTTCGCGGGACGGGAATCTGATCGTCGATCTACAGCAGGCGCCGATCCGTGATTTCCAATAACAAATCGATAAATAATGACATTATAACGAAATCCGGTAGCCTAGATCTACCGCGCGCGCACATGAACGTACACGCATAGATGACCTTCAGACTTTCCCCTCTCCTCCGTCATAATTTTCGCTATTTATTTCTCGTCTCGGATTTACGAGGAAACGATATCGATAGGTATAATAATAAAACGCTATATGTTATGTGTATATAAATTAGCACGCGCGCGCGCGCCAGACAGATCACCGTCTACGATAACTGACGTTATTGTGTTACACCGTACTAGAACACGGCGGCGGCTGTTCGACCGCAAGATGATAATTTCTCGCGACTGCACTACCGCACGGGTGATCGTGGCGGCCTCTTATTGTACACTATTACACTGTTATCGTATTACTCGGGCATAGGAAAGACGAGTGAGAGAGAGAGAGAGAGAGAGAGAAAAGCGTAAACGGTTGTTTGCATGCGTTTTACGAGCGCGCCTATCTGCTGTGACAATTTTTATTATTAGAAATCGTTTCGTGTATTACAACGCGGCGAACACGTAATTTAAATAAATCGCCAATGACTTCACAGACTTATTCGAAATTCGTTAGATTACTTAGCGAAGAGCTAATTTTTTATACGATCGTGAATACGTTTGAATAGAATAAAAATCGCTGGCTCGACAATATTTTGATGAAACGCACACAAGTCGTTAGGAAAGCGAACAATAAAGTAAAAAAAAATTGTAAACACGCGATATACATATATATATCCACGAGTACTTATTTGTTGTTGAGTATTTTCTCCATTTTTTTTACCGATGAATATAATATCACATATACTTCACAATATAATTAAGTAAAATAATAAGATAATAAGTATAATAATATAAAACAACACGCACTCGATATACGCTAAATTGTTAATATATATATATATATATATATATATAAGAAATATTTAATTAACTATATGTGGTTAATTTCGTTCCGCGTCAGTATTAATTTCGTGTACGTATTAAATGACGTACTCCGTGAACAGTATATTTTGTCATCGATAGAGATTAAAGAAATTGCATTTTCAAACTTCCGACCACGCGACAATATCTTAATCGTATATATTACGCGATCTATATAAATTGGCTTACTACACTCCGCGCGTTTAACAACCATAATAAATAAATGACAAATATACCGGGTGTAACAGACGGTATTCCGACACTTGTACATTAAATTTCTAGTGAAAAATATCTTTCCGATACACCCAGTGATCATAATATAGACTTCAGCGGAGGTGCGACACTCTTTTAGTACGTATACGAATATAGGTATATATATATACAGGCACTTGTAGGTTTTTATTATTATTTGAAAAACGAACGTAATAGATATATAATTCCCATAACTGATACACATAACACTGTACTATACAGACTCGTTTTTTTTTTTTTTTATATAAATTGTTAACAGACGGCCAAAATAATAAATGTATCGGATGAAATAACACGACGCGTATTCAACCCATCACACACGATCGATTCATAAACTTATCGAGTGTACAAATCATACGTACGTACAGTTCGTACCTATTGTACGCACGTATGATATATTATAATATTCTGTAATATTTTATTGCACGCGGCCACGGCCGAACGGATTGTGCACGGTGGTAGAGCCCGCGTGCGCTGCAAGTAAAAGGTACATACGTAGTTTAACCGAAAATTAAAATACACGCACACGCGTGCACGTATATTTTTTTTTACTTTTTTTTTTTTTTACCGATGCGTTAATAATAATTACATGTCAGCTATACGCGCGCAGCTGTTTTCAGAGCAATGATCTGCGGGGCACGTGCTGCTGTTGTACAGCTGCACAGTCACCTGGATAACACCCACTACACAACACTAACACGGTATACTGCTGCACGCCGAAAGATGATAATGGTACACTGTGCGCAAACACCTTTTTGTCGTTTTTTAAATATTTTAATACAGGCGACCGTATACAAGCGGTGTAATATACCTGTACACGTATAGCGCACGCGAGCGCGCTCGGGAGAGCCTGGCTCCGACAAACACAGCGCGCGTTTCTTTTGACATACCTAGCTTATGTGTGTAAATAATTTGTTGTTGTTTTTTTTTTTCTTCCCCCACCCCTAAATGTTCAGAAGTATATCACGATGATTACAACACACGGAACACAGCACATGCCGCAGATGGAGTGTCATTAAAAAAATGACGTCGTTCGACACACACACACACACACACACATTTAAAAACCAATAAATCGTATAATATAGATTACGTTGTGTGTGCACATGCGTTTGTGTCTGTGCTACACTGCGGTGGTATATGTATGTATATATATATATATATATATATATATATATATATATATAATAATGATATGACACAACGAGTCAGCGGTTACCGTACGTTTCTTGCGCGCGTCAAACCTATATTATCATAAATAAATAGTCCTAAACAATGGTTTTCGGGAGTATATTTTTCTCCGAGGATAAAAAATAAAAACCTGCAACAGTACAAATCGTTCTTGCAAATTTTTCAATTTTTACGCCGATTGAAACGCGAAAGCTGAAAACATGTCTACAACGTCATAACCGCCGTCGTGATGATTCGAGATTTACGTGAACCGTCGAAACATGTAAAAAACCGTATATTGATGTCATACACACGACATAATAGTACAGATGATTTCAACTTTTGCTCGATGATTGATAACCTATTGTTTCGTACGAGTAGATACGTTTTGGCGAGCACATTATCGTTAGTTGAACACGTAATACGCGTGAGATAAAAAAATTAAAAAAATTTTGTTATCCGCGCGAACGTACCGCGGAAGGGAATATTATTTTTAAAAATATCATTTTTCCTCAAGCCAAAAAAGTCCTTGAATGCGCTGCGAACGATTATTTATGAATGCGTACACGCGAAAAGTGTAATTTCGCGCATTTATCAGGAAATAAATCTCTACATTACCTGTATACCTCCTACGTAAGCAATGAATACAGAAAAACATAGCTGTATATAAATATAAATAAGTATGTACCTATTATTGATGTGACGGAGGCCGGGCCGCGGCGAAGCGAGGGAAATGATGATCAAGAATGTGCGTTCCCAAGTAATTCAGTTGTTTTCCGTACGTTTATATTACATTGTAAGTACACGAATACACGAAAATAGTATTTTTGTCATTGGTATGGAAAATAGCACATCGCAATATTGTTCCGTGTAGCGAACCAATACTCAAATACCTGGAAAACAAAAAGTTTTGACTAAGAAAGCCGCCGATACATTATAACATATTAACCGCAAGTGCATATAATGTGTCTGAGAATATGTAATACACGAACACTAATGCAGGGTACAATTATTTACTCTCGACGTATTTCTTAAATCAAGGACTTCAATTCGTAAAAATATATGTTGAATACGTAAACTCGCTTCAAAAATATTTAAAGACTTAGTACCGTTCTAAAATGCTATTAATTTGATGGTGGCAAAATTTAATAAAATATGACACAATTATAAATATAAATCAAGATAACGTCCTATTAAGATAAGGTTAGAAGATTGGGTACATACGAGAAGTCACGGAAGCAGTCTTCGAACAGGAAATCCAAGAAAGCTTTTCGCAAACCGGAGATCTAGACGATAAATGCAATGCGCAGATTCGTGGACGTGCAGGTCTGTGTACGGGGTAGGTACACGACGGTGGCCGATGATGATGATGATGTCATCAACGGGGAACGTCCTCGGTCAATCGGGTGTGTACGACACACACACACGCAGTACACGACAACCACAACCACAACAACAACAACAGTGACAGCGAAACCGAAAATAATGTAATAATTTATTGTACCTATAGGTGTACATACTGCAGATCGATCACGCCGCCACCGAGACGAGGGCGAAACCAGTTCCGTCGCCGTCGAGGCGGCAGAGGAGCGCGTGCTGTACCGGAATCTCGTGGCCGTCGCCCTAATGTCCAGACACGGGGTCCGGTCGTCGTCGAACGCATTTTACAATGGTACACATATTATGATACACGTATACCGCGTTCACATTGTGTTTGCCTACCACTATAGGTCGCGTCGGTGGTGGCGACGACGTTTTATCGGCGTGTAATTGACCCGCCGCCATGGCCGTACGGGGCGCCGCCACCGCAGGCTTTTTTTTTTTCACCGTGTACATTATAAAGTGGTGGTGTTATTGTCGCCGTATTATTATTGTAACTCGTGTTTATCTTGATACACGCGCAATCCCATTCATTCCGCCGTGCAAGAGTACCTCTACAAGAGATAGACAGAGAGAGAGAGAGAGAGCGAGAGGGATGAAAGAAAAAAATCTTTTTCGGAATGTATACGCGCGCACGTAATATTTACACGCCTTCTCGCCCGTCGGTCGCCGTCGAAATATTTTTCTCGCACCCATTGGGAAAACCACATGCAAACCGTTTTTTTCCGCTTCCCGGTCTTCGGTTGTTTTTTAACGGACCCGTTTATCGTTGTCAAATCACGCGTGCACACGAATTTACCCACCCAGTCGTTACAACGTAAATACATTAAATTGCATTGACAAAAGATGAGAGAAGAGAGAGAAACCATTACATTATATACGTATACATATATATTATTATACTGTTTCGTCCGAGTGTCGCGTTTACTATATGAAATAAACAGAAGGTACACGTTTTTAATATTATATAGGTACGCAATGTGCGTCGTCGTCGTTTAAGACAAAAGAGGGAAGAGGAGTCATCAGAACAACGAGCGCGTCGTATCTGCCGCCGTGAGATGGGGTCTCCGTTCCATTGTCTACGTGTTCGTAATGAAAAGTATCCGGTTTTCGGCTTCTGGACCGGGTATTCAGTGGCGGCGGCGGCGGTGGCGGTGCGGTAGAGTAGAAGAGCTGTACGCTGGGAAAGGTGGTGGTAGGTTTTATCTGTCCGGATGAAGGGGGGCAGGAAAAAAAAAACGTCGGACCGGACCACATCCTGTGTGTGCAGTGTCTTCTTCTCATGCACACGTACGCGCAACGATGCGTCGAGCAACTGGTCCATCACGCGCATTCATTATTATTTTTTATTATTATTATTATTATTACTATTATTACAACTATTATTACCCGTCGGTTATATGTTTAGTTTATTCTGTACACGCGGATACAAGTAGCACACCTATAGGTACAACCGACGACGTCACTCGAGTATACGATAATCACACACGATGTATTATATTATAGTCGTTTATAATGTATCTGGTGCGTGCCTATATATTATTATGTGCACGGAACGACGGCGGCATTTGTACGGGTTTCTTCCCGTTTCCGTGTGCGTACACGACCGGACGCATCCTCACAAGTGTACGTCATCATATCCTGCTATCTCTCGGTGTCGGCGAGCCACAGCGGTGCGTCCATTCGACGCTCGTGAGAGTTATAGAGGGGGCGGTGTCAAAAGTGGACTAGAGTGCGGAATTTTCGAAACGGAAACGAATAGAAAAAAATCATATAAAATACAAAAGTCCATCCGTTACGATATTGAACCACGATCCCCGGGGGGATAACGGGTGCTTATCACATTGTCGTCGCGGTGACATTCCCAGTCGACGCGAAAAAATCCGAAGAAAAAGATAATATTCGGCACACCTATACGACGCGTAATGTGTGATCACATTCTGTGATCCTACAATGGCTGTGTCCGGTGCCAACGGACGCGATTAGACTGTATAAAATCGATATATAGGTATATGCACACGTTTATAAATGTACACGGTCGCCGTCTCGAGCTGACTGGCTGGCACCGACGTGGCCGACTAAAATCCAGACGTAACGACCGCATCAGGCGCACGTATCACTCAGTGATCTTCGCGATACGCGTACGCCGAATGTCCGGACGGTTCTAATACGTTTTGTACACGACGCCGGAAACATTTCCGATGATTTATGGCTTGGCTAAAAAGGGAGCAGCAGGGGGGATGATATATAGCATCGTCGTCGTCGTCGTTGTCGTCGTCGTATAGAAACAAGGTGTGCGCGTATAACGGTTTCGAGCCAAAGGGTTGGGCGAACCTACGAAGTACCACACACTTAAAACTTCCGCGTATCAAAAAAAAAAAATAATAATAATAGTTTAAATATATGCGCAAAGAAGGTTGACCAGTTTTTTTATACTTTGTTACCCCGATGACCTTTGACAAACGATAATAAAAATCGCATGAAAAGATATGGAAATTAGGGATTATCAAACGCGTCCTGCGGATCCTTGAGCACGAAGGGTGCTTCGAAGGCTGCAGGGGGACGCCGCGGAAGAAAAGAATTATTAAATAAATAATACATTTGCCAGAGAGTGATTGTTCGGTTGTGGCGGTTGCCGCACGATGTATCACTCGAGAACCTTCTACATCGATGTTAGAGTGCGTGAGTTTGTGTATATGTACGTAGCGGCGTTTATCTCTAGAACTTGAGGAGCGTTGCACATAATAGAAACAGATTAAGCACTATGGTTTTGAGTTAGCTCCGATTTCATGCTAAACATTGGGATTAGCATCGAATAAAGAGATGATGAAATAGTACTTTTAACAAGAAAAATTAAATATCCGGAATGCTGGTCGAAGGAGATATTAAATGTTATAATATGTGGCGTTATTTTGTCGAGGACAAATCAAATAAATCATTATTTTTTTTTAACTTTTAACGGAGGATAAAATTAGTAATAGTAGTAATAATAATAGTAGAAATCATTCTGGAAAACATAAATCTACCATCGCTTTTGTTGATCACCAATTAACACTTTTTCGTGCGTAAGTACTGTGCAGATCAAAATACGCGAAATGTCGAATTTTTTTTATTTTAACTTTTAATTAACATTATGATCTTGTCTCATTTCATGTAAATCATGAAAAAAACATTAGAAAAATATAATTATTTTACGCGTACGGCTAATAAAAAACGAAATAACGAAATAAACAAATAAATAACGATAATGATAAATATTAACTGCCCCAATAAGAGTGTTTCCCAAAACAGGTGAATACAGCATATTATAATAATATTATTAATACACGTTTATTGAATCAAGACTAACCTTATGCACCGACTGACGTCCGTTACTGAACATAACAATATTATATCATGCACCATGTATATAGTAGGTAAAATTGGCCGAGTATCGCAGGTTTAGTGCACGACAACACACAACAGTGTAACGTAACGACGACCGACTGATATCGCTTGAAGAAACAAGATTAATGAAAATTGTTTTTTTCTGTTTTGGAGTATATAGAGATTCGAAATATTTGAAAGGCATTAAGATAAGGCGGATAATTTTCTGCGATCACTTTTAGGAACTATACTACACACAAGCGAGCGTGCACTCACACGCATATGGTTGCGCGAGAGTGTGTGCTCTTGTTATCTTTAGTTAATACGCTATATTGCGACTGCGACAACGACGACGTTTGTTTAAAAGATAAAAACAGAACGAGAAAAAAAAACGCGACGAAGAATAATAAAGCTGCACCCTTTTGCCGTGTTTTCCGTTTCCCGGTACGACGACTTCGACGACGCCTCTCATCCTTATGCCATGGCGCGACCAATATACTATTATACCGTACAAACCTACCGTATTATAATATAATATTCCAGCGTTGGCAATTGATTTTGATACGAAAGAAATAAAAAAAACAAAAAACACGTCTGTTAGCTGTACATAATATTACACTTCCGAGGAAAATTTACGATCCGCATTGACGGCAGTTTTATAAACGATGTACGCCTCGGATGTCGTTGCATTTGCAAAATGTACACATCCGCTCGGTATAAGTTAGAATTTTGCAAACTGGAATTTTTTTTTAACAATTTCAACAGTTGTGTTTATCAATTTTTCTCATCTGTAGTATAATTTAAATAATATTCTGAAATTGAAGTTCTGAAAGTAAAAGGAACAAGAAAAACGCTTTCTTGAGGCGATTACACAACGAATTGTTATTTTTATCGTTTCGTTAAATAAAAGTAAGTATTATTTAACTCACACATACTTGAGATTATATTTTAAGTACAATACCGAAATGAATGTTACTACTGTTTCCAGTAACGTATTTTCAAAGTTTTTGTAGGGGGAAGGTTTAAAGATTTCCTAAAAAATAATTGATTTTATAATACTACAACAAATACATATTAGGTATGAATTATTATTCTATTATTATTATAAATACAAACTTAAAGTTGTTTACAAACGCATGATAAATTGTTCTGTAATTTATAATTTGTGAACCTTTTTTTTTTATCTGAGGAAGGTCGTGACTCAAAAATACCCCCCCCCCCCCCCATAAAAATATATCACTGAATGTTTCATATTACTGCAACGTATTATTTAAATTTTTTATCACACATCGTCGTCCGCTGTCATCACTGGACCACCGCCGTCATCGTCAAGTAATAACGCGATCGCAAACGCGCTGTATACACAACGGATGCACGCGTACTTTAGATTTATCACCCGAGAGTGTTATTTGTTTTTATTTTTAAATATTGTGTCATAGTTACGCGAGAACGTTCCCAATATGAATAATAATAATAATAAAAAACACGTATTTGCTTATACAAGATGAATCGGCGGCGGTGTTCAAGTGGTGTCTATTGTTTTATTTGCACTCTCAGATCCATCAATATTCGTGTAAATAATAACTAGATATAACACGTTGCCGGTTTCTTTCGCCTGCGTGGCATTTTCGTTAATATTTTAATCGGCGAGACGTGTTTTATTATCTCTGTCGTTTGATCATCTCGAGACGCATGTGATCGAGATACCGGCTCGGAGAATATCGTCAAACGCGTACTTTCCGAATCCATATCAAATAAATTAAAGTATTAATAAATACTCACTTTTGATCTCTGAGGCGAAAGAAAGAGAGATAGAGAGAACTATCTTCTCAGAGTAAATTCAACATCGTATAGCAATGCAGATAACACCTGCCTCAGGAAGTTCGACTTTGATAAATCTATCTCTCTCTCTCTCTCTCTCTCTCTCTCTCTCTGTTTCCAAAAATATAACTCGACTTTCTCATAAACACACGTATAATATTCTGCTATTCATCATTTGAATGAAAAGTGTGTTTCCGTGTAAACTCGTGAGGCCGTGACGTTATAGGATTGGTACCTATGTAATTGGATTTGTGCGTTAACAGAGAAGACTACCAAAGTACCAGCAGCTTTAGGGTATTTATACTAAACTCGTATAATAAATATATATATATATATTAATCACGATGGGTCTTCTGGGGCTTTTAGTACATACACAGGTATTCGGTATGGTATCGTTTTTAAGAACTTATTTCCCTTTGGTACTATGCGAAATATTTAACATTAAGAATAATCTACATACATCTGTTTATACACCTCTAATTGCTATCCTTTTGTAGCATTCATTGTAATTTTTTTTTTGTTCTTAGTATGGGTGGAGGGTGGACCGGAACATATAAAAAAGTATCACTGATGACCAAGGACAAAACAATGTTTCTGAATATATTTTATTCATATTATTTTAAGTTCTTTAATCTTATAATTATTTCGGTAAAAACTTTTTCGGAAAGAAAATTTTATGCTCCTAAATTTTCATAAAATAGAAAAAACCCGAATGAAGATGTCGACTTTTAATTATCAGACAATAATTAATATATAATTAATAAAAATTATTTAACAACATTAAATTTTGATCAGCTTCAAAGCTTTAAAACTTCTGCTGATATTGTTTGAGAATTGTTGTGATTTATAAATTTATAATTTGAAAATGATTAACTTTAAATTATTTTACCAAGATAAAATCTAAGTTAAGTTTTGATTCAGTAAAATTTTTTGAAACATACAAAATTTAAAAAACTATCGAAGACACAACTGATTATTTATTAGAACATTGGCAATAGTTTAAAAAATTATTTACAATATTTAATAACTGATAACCCGTACAACGCAACAAAGGGTGAACACTTGGTTTAGAGAGTAGTATAGGTTTTTACAATTTCCGAAAAATCCAATGCTATGATACAAAAAGCACAGTATTTTTAACTATGTACTTATTCCACGTTCTGCAATATTTTATTAAGTTGTACACATAAACAATAATTTCCTAGGTAATCATGACGACCCCAGGAGCATTTTCATATTTTTTTTTTTGGTCCTTTGCTCAACTGAGGATAATTTTTTTTTAATCGAAATTACAGTTGACAATAATTCATCGGGAGGAATTAAAAATTGTCACCAACTCTTATAATACTATCAGGGTAGTTATACGCGACCGAAAAATGTAGAATTTTAAGATCCGGAAGAATCGTTTCCGAGTATAAAAACAGATGTCAAACGTGTTTTGCACAAACCCTTATGCTAGTTGTTCCGGGATCACTGAGCACACGCTATCCTGTTTTGGAATGCTGCGCGCGAGCGGGTTCGATGGTCCCTCCAGCAGTAAAGGGGGTAGTCACCGTCGAATATTACTATTATTATATTTTTATTATATTATTATTGTGTTGTTATTCAAATGATATGACCCCGGAAGAAATTACGAACGAAATTTATCGCACAAGCACACAAAACCCACACGAGCGCCCGATCGGAGTTTATGCAACGCGTATGCGGCTTATGCACACGCATATTAAATATTATACAGAAATTATATAGCTGGTTGGGTAGCATACACGTAGCCGTGTTAATTTTGCACTACTACATCTCACGTATTAACAACAGATAGCCTATGTGTTTCGCATTCAGCGTGCCGATACAAATCGGGACATACTATTATCCGACGGTTATACCACCTCGTTGCCGTCGCCACCGTAAGATTAGCGTAATTCAATATTATGATAAAGTAGGTGTGACATATCTCTGAAGGTAAGTATACCGTCGACGCCACGCCGTATCGACGGTACAATGTATATGGTTCTGTGCGGTATACGGTAGTCGGCCAATCATCTATGCAATTCGATAGCATTCAACATAAATAGTGTATGGAAAAAAAAAATCGCAGACAGATAATACAGCAGAAGACTAACCATTAAAATTGGTTCCGTAACGTAAGGGGAATTTTTCGAATTTTAAAAGCGATTTTCTTTCGCTATAGACCGCAAAAATTGGCCAGCGTAGTTCTCTATAAACCGTCAGCAATACAACCGATTCTGTCGGGGCGAAGAAACAAAAGTTGAATTTTGCAAAAAAGATTATAATTTTTAATAATTATACACACACCCATTTGTTTCGTAAAATGTGTGGTGCCGGGGAGAAATCCGGAAAACGTAGAATGATTATAATAATGATTACGGCATAATGTTTGCGGGATATCTCCGGACAGTTCGGAGAAAATATAGGCGCCGCAGAGAGATAAAACGTCTCAACGAAAATAGCCGATTGTACGATCGGTCCGCGAGAATAACAATAATAACAATAAGTGCGAACGCGACGGAAAATAAAAAAAAAAAAGTATTTTTAAACGACAGCGAGTGGCGCACGTACGCGATACGTACATGTAGGTGCACAGACTGCAGACCTGTAGAAGGTGCGATAACGACGAGAGATTGTAGTAGACACACGAGACGGAATTGTAAAATGCGAAAATAATAGGAATTGTAAAACGGGAGAGACGAGAGTGATTTTAAAATTATTTCGAAGACGAATGGTGTGACTCAAACGATCTCAGCACGTGAGCGCATTTTCGCGCTAGATTCGAATATTAAATAACAATAGGGTGTAGTCGGTTACCTGGTAGCGCGCGGCTGACGAAAGCTCGTTCACGGACGTCTCCTCTTCATGGGCCGCGGCGGACGAGCACACGCACCTCGTCGATGGTCCGCGTCGAAAGCTGTTGGCGGCGGTGGATCGTCGAATGGACAATAATCAAATAATAACGATAAAGATACCGGCAATAATAGCGTATGGAGCGCGCACGCTCAAGACGAAGAGTATGCGTGTGGATGACGCAGAGCGACGCGCAGTGTGTTACGCGGACGCAGGCGCGATGGTCACGGTCCGTCCGGAGCAAACTCCACCGCGATAGTCGGACACGGGAGTCAGCAGCAGCACTGCTGCGGCGACGGCGACGACGTCGGGAGCTCGGGACGGCCGCGGCGGCGGCGGCGGCGTTGGGTGCGCGCGCGCGGCGCGGGACAGGTTGCACGCGCGCGCGGACGCGCACGCGCGCGACGCCCGGGTACAGACGCGCCCGACCAATCCGGACGCGCGCACAGCTCGCCGAGTCCTCCCCTCCGCGCCAATCTCCGCCGATCTCTCGATTGATTTGCGCCGGTTACGTGACCGCCGCGCCGCGCTCGCGTACCACGCGGCTGCCGCGGACGACTTCGCGGCGAGCGGTTACTACGCGCCCTCCGGCCACCCGCTACCCGCGTGCCAGTCGTCCAAAGCACTGCGGGGATGACATTGGAGAAGGAGAAGGCGTTCAGGGGCGGTCGCGAGCGCACCCTGCACACGTTCGTTACACGCGCTCCCGCACCAACGAAATGTATTACTATTATCTTGTACACATTATCCCCGTGACCCAAGCTAAGAATACAAAATTTATCATCGAGTCGTTCATTTTTCATTTTTCCAACGCTTTTAGACCACCGCGTGTACATTGTGTTGCAATATAAATATATATATATAGTAAAATATCTGACGTACACGCGTGAGAGTTTCTTTGTACGAGATAGTGTGTGTGTACCTGCCGACGAGGAAACACTCCAATATTGATTTTGAAAAGAAACGCGCGCGCGCGCGCGCGCACACTCACACACACACATACGTTTGACGGCCGATAAGTCTGTTTAATATGTATATATATATATATATGTGAACGTATGAAATATCGTTTCGGAGGATGTGTGCACTCGCGGTGTTCGATGTTTGCATGCGTGTGTGCTCGCATGTTTATATCTATTATGACTCGATGCGAAACGACGTAGTTCTCGCGTTTCGATTTCTTACAACGTAAAATATAACTCGGTTTTTTTTCTCTATCGTTCTGAGATTGCAGAGCGATTTACGCGTATTTCGATTATTTATATAGAATATTTTATTTTGTACGCGTGACTGTTGCAGTTTATATAGTGCAGTTATATAGCACATTACCTATTGTTCTGATCGTTTTGGTGCGTGTAACCGCGGTCAGGTGATAATTTCGCCAAAACTGTGTACACATGTATACCGTATATACTATAAACCGTAAAGCCGATGTACCTCGATTATGGTACGTTATTATGTGCCGCATACCGCGAATACATACGGGAACGGAATTCGGCGGCCGCGCGACGTCTGATTTCCCGAGAGACTTTTTCGCAGACCAAGTTTTTTTTCTTTCGACCGGTACTCACACACGTGACAACTCTTCCGATACAACAACCGTATTTTCTGTCTACATGTCGTCGGTTTTTTTTTCTATCGCAATATTTATATACTTAGACATTGCCGACCCTCACGTCAAACTATAACGCGCATACTGCCGGACGTGTTATAAGCTTTTAACTACAGCAAGTACCATCACGTACAAAGTTAACTTACAAACTAAGCGCACTAAAATAAATTATTACACTATAGTATTCCACTTCGGATGTACAGTATTATAACTTCGAAGCGCGTACAGGGACGCATATAATAAAATTTAAATTATATTATGTACGTACCTATGCGCATAATACAGTGATATAGGTGTTAAATTCGTATACACGTTGAACTGTACGAATACACCTGTATCCATCCGTTTCACATACCTTGACCGCGTCTTACATGTTTCACCACTTTATATTTTTTACAATTAGAATACATAAAAACCGTATAATTATAAGTTTATCTATTCTTTTCCCTTGGTACAGCGATGCACGCTTGTAACGGCCATACCTCGATGACTATATTAAATTATATTCATGTATGCGTGTGTGCGTGTGTGTGTGCGTGAATTTCGATGATGATTCGATCGATGATGTTCGTACAATAATTTTGTTCCTGTATAGAATTTAACCGGCAGTTAACTAATGTTAGCATACTTTTTTTTAGCATAATTGTTTAAGATATTTTTTTATTCTTAATATTTTGGTCATATTGTTTTAAGAGAGTTTAGAGTTTTTTTTTCGTTTCATTTATGAACATAATATTATTAAAATACCCCTAACAATTTTTAAATTGTTTTCATTTGCATTTACTGAAATATACCTATTATCAACAAAATATTAGAATGCATCTAAAGCATATTTATACGAGTTTATTAATATTAAATAAGCAATAAAACTCATTATATGAACGTTTTCTTTGAATAATTGTAATTTATTTAGTAGAATACTTCTATAATAGTTTTAAATACTTGTTTTTAATAGCTTCAGAATTAATTGATTTTGAGAGCATCCATCGAAAAAATAGAATTGCCATTAAATGTTGATCAAATTTTAGTACAGCAAATAAATGTGTTTCAATATATTTCGAACTACATGATGGTCTTTAGAAAATACTTACATTTATGATAAGTAGAATTAAAAATTACAGATGTATGTTAATCATAGCGTTTGAAAAAAAAATTGGAATAAAATAAATTTAAGTATTCATATAAGTTATTGGTATACTCACAGAAATTGCAAATTTTTTCTTGGTATAGATATAATAAATTATCAACATTCAACGTCAATCACAACTACACACATATATACATAATGTTTATATTGTATCCTTAGGAGTAGATTCGACGAAAATAAATTGTAATAACCTTATTTTTGCTCTTTCATAATAATATTATGTATATACTTGTAAATATTTATATTATATTTAATAGACATTAATACAGAAATTATGTGGTAAAAATTATAGTAAAAAGTCATGTAACATTTATAATGAAATTATATTTTATTAAGGAAACATACTCATGCACTTAGTATATATGTATTATGTTATAAGAAGAAATTGCATGTGTGTACCTTTAACATGGTTTGTACATCATTGATGATTAACGTTGCCATTACGATGTTTATACAAGATTATTGAGTCTTCCACTCAAATATTTTTTTATGATTTTCACCCTCAATTAAATGTAATTATTTATAAATTTTAATTATAAAATAATTATTAATTATAATATTTATTAAACATTTAATGTGTCTATGCATACCTTTAATGTAATGTTATTGAGTTTCTTAGTAGGTACATTCAAGACTTGCAGACTGTTCCTCATAATCAATTACCTTAATAACCAAGCTGTTTATAGTATATACGATATTTTATATTATATTTTAAAGGTTGTTTTATTTTATTTTAAGTCTATTTCATGTTTTGTTGTCAACATTGTTCAAAATCATTCTCATATTCTAAATAGTAGATAATTAATACGTATATTAAACGAGTATAGTGCCTAACGCCTAGTCATCTAGTCGATCTAGTACTACAGATGAGTCATGTCATTTGAATTCAATATTTGTAACTACGTTTTTCGTTTTACCTGTGTGAATTCCAACTTGCGATACGTTGTAATTGTGCACATACATCGATAGTACAAGAAGGTGGTATTACAGGTATACATCAGTCAATTATTTATATTTTAAGTAAATAATATTTCCAATAAGTAGCTTATGCGTCTCATGTTTGTTATCCGCTTATTTACATATTATCCAATATTTAAATCTATAATCGTTATTATTAATTAATATTGAAATTTGAATACAACTTTACATGGTATCAGATATAATACAATAAAATTATACTGTGAGAATATATAAGCGTTATGAATCGATATAATAAATGTGTCGTATGTTTACTTTAATTACTTTTCATCCTGACCACACGGGGTCTACATTTGCAGAGTCTGACTAATTTTAAATTACCGTCATTAAGTAATATTCATAAATATCTACAAACAACCTAATGGTATAAAATAATGTAGTACTTACATCTTAAACTATCTATACTTAATATCTTCTCTCGTATATGTTGCAATAGTAGTAGGTACGATATTACCGTACATACTAACACAAACACACATTACATAACATATTGTATTCCTTAGGAGTAAAATGTTCGGGCTAAGAATGTAACACAATATATCTAAACTGTCCACCGTGGTCAATAGGTTAACTATTAATGTCATATAACTTGTCTAATATTAGGCACATTTCAACAATGCTGCTTTTTACATGATTAATTTGATTTTAATTGTATATTATGTATATCTTATTACATTATATTAGTATTATCTTCTACACATCTATATTATATACAGTTTTCACGAATGTTGTACAAATACACCGAACGGTTTCGTACGTCTTAACGTGTGCGGTTTTAAAGTGAATATTTTTTTTAATATTTTTTTCCGTTAATTTTATTACCGATGTACAATATTATACTACGTGCGCAGCATCAATTATGTTTGTTGATCTTGTAAAAAAAAAGCGTACACGTAGCCATAATATGAGAACGAAAACGTTCCCATGATGGGACCAGGTCGTTTGTGTGACTCGCGAAATAAGACGCCGCGATATATAACACTGTGAGACATCCGGCAAATAATATATATATAAATTTGTGTGTATGTGTAAACATACCAAGAGATATGTGCGTGCATCTGACTAATGTGCATAAATTCTTTTCCTAAACTATTATATTGGATACGAATAGTAATTCGCCTTAAATTCGATTTTAATGTTCATAAACATGCTCTTGATCTGAAGAGAATGTCTGCAACGGCGGACAAACCTTATACGCAGTAGTTATAATATGTCTGAAAAGTCATTGCATCTGAAAAGAGTGTTGCTAAGTTATCCCGCGTGTGGTGTTATTGTATTAATGATTTTTACTATCATTATGTATACTATCTATATATATATATATATATATTATTACATGTTAGCCTATATATATAAGAACAGGACGATTTTTCAGCCGTTATTTTCTTTATATAATCGTCGTAACGAACATTTCGATCGAAAAAGAAAGGAGGGAAAAAGTGGCCACAGGACAATGCCCAAATTGACCTACCTTTTGATATTATATTGAAATAAATGGTCCGATTCCCATAGGGTATTTATTATTATTATTATTTTTTTTTTTCGATTTGCATATTTGTAT